AGCGGCGAGTACTCGGTCCTAAGATGATCGAGGAGACAGCAGAGCAGGTCGAGTTGGTCCGGCAGAGACTCAGGACAGCCCAGAGTCGACAGAAATCTTCCGCCGATCATCATCGACGAGACATTCAGTTCGAGGTTGGAGAGCCAGCCTTTCTCAGAGTTCGTCCGATTCGCGGAGTTGTGCGATTCGGGAAGAGAGGGAAACTGCACCCTCGTTTTATCGGTCCGTTCGAGGTTCTCGAGCGAGTAGGCGAGGTCGCGTATCGTCTAGCCCTACCTCCCGAGTTATCAGGCATTCATAATGTATTTCACGCATCTATGTTGCGTAAGTACGTGTGCGACCCCGATCATGTCATCCCTCATACGGATATTCAGGTTCAGCCAGATCTGTCGTACGAGGAGCGACCGGTAGCTGTACTCGACCGTCAGGTCCGTCGGCTCCGGAAGCGAGATATCCCCCTCGTGCGCATTCAGTGGGATCGCCACGGAGCTACTTGGGAGGAGGAGTCCGACATTCGCGCTCGTTTCTCAGATTTTCAGTTTTGATGTACATATTTCTAATTCTATGTACATAGTTCATGTATTCAGCTATGTTTTGAATTTCCGAGGACGGAAATTTTGTAAGGAGGGAGGATTGTAATATCCCGATATTTTATCGGTATAAATTACGCTTTAGTTCCGATATAATAATGTTATCATTTATTATTTTCGGAATTAATTATTTTCAGTCGGAATTACCGAAATCTATTTTCGACGTACCGTTTACGTCTGGAATAATTTTGGTAATTAAGCATTATGTTTAATCAAATAATTAAACATAAAGTCGATGACTAATGTTAATTAATCACAAGTTAAGTCATAATAGCCGTGACATTAGTCAATTTCTCCCAATTGCATTATTAAAGCCGTGAGCTTCCTTCTTCTTTGGGAAACCAAGTTTCCCTCAAATTTGGCATAAAAACGTGGCTAAATAATAGGGAGCTTAGTCATCTTAAAAGTTCCTA